CTTGATCCATTTTTGCTCACGTTCGCTCCCATCTGACCACGGGTTCGTTAAAATTCTCATTTAAGAGGTCACAGGTTTTCTAATTGGAAGCGGCCTGACCTGTCACAGTCTAAAGTTAGTTTCAAGCCTTTTGGCCTTATTAAAAAATGCTCACGCTTCTGTCACCCCGGTCCTCAGAAACAACCCTTCAAATAGCTCGAACCACTTTTTGGACCCGAGTTCCCCCCTTGAGGAAAAGAAGTGCTTTGCATGAAGAACATTTGACAAAAGGTGAGTGACTCTCTAGTGTGCATGTGTGGTTCTATAAGAGGGTTAGGGTTAATTAAGCTCAAATGAGCAACAGCACAGAACACAATCAAACCAAAAGGTATTCATAGTAATGCAGGTATTACAATTTATCCAACCATAGGGGCAGCACAACAACTGAGAGCTTTTTTGGGGGTGCAACACCTTCACATGACCTCACGGAGTCCAGCTGAGCAACTGTCTGGCAGAACACTGTGCTCCATTCATCCCAATCACTTATTCAAATATTAGCTAAAACGCAACATCTGATGTTTGAATAGATGCTGTTCACTTCATGCTCATAATTCCTTATTAGCAGGTGGCTCGGTTTCAGCACCGCTGCCTCCCACTCAAACAATGACTCGATGAGCACAACGTTACCCCAGTGTCTGCAGGCACACACACACACACACACACTAATAAGCCCCAAACCGGCTGCGTCGGGCACGTTTTTCACTGATCAACATCTGTATCAGTGCGACCATCAAGCACTCTCCAGATGCCCGGACGCCTCGCACATCATCTGCCATTGACCTTGGCGATGAGGACTCACCGGTGAAGAGCCTGTCTGCAGCCCTCTGTCTATAGGCCCATTATGATATCATTTCTAAATGCTTGTGTGTGTGTTGTGGTTGTGGTTGTGATTGGGTGGTTGGTGGGAGAGATTTGTGTTATCTGTGATCTGCACAGTTTGTACGTGTGTGCACCTGCATGTGCCAATTTGTATCAGTTTGCATCTGCGGGACGAGGTCCGGTTAACCGTGCTGCTATACGGTATATCATAACTTGCGTGTGTTATCAACCTAGATGACTTTGCATGCAGCCCGATAAGCAAATACAGCATAAAGTACGCTATGCATGCTATACAAGCTGTACAAGATGACTCTAAGTGTTTGTGATTGCAGCCAAACCCCCCCCCCCCCCAGTTTCCCTTCTTGTCTTAAATCTGTCACCTCAGCAAAAAAAGAAAAAACTCTTCCTTATTCTCTTTTATCAAAATCAGTGTTTTAATTAATGCATTTTAACAAGGGCCCTGAACACCGGGTTAATTGTGCTTTTCATGAGAAAATCAGCCCAAATGCAAATTGTCTCCGGGCGAGCTTTGTGCCGAGGCTGGAAACGGTGTTTTAATTATCCAGAAAACCTCCTCAGTGGGGGACAGGCTGTGGTGACCATATGCTCAGCAGTCGCAACGTATCTTGCGGTGGCATTTCAGCTCACAGGTGGTGGAGGATGTGCAGAAAAAAAAGGAGGAAAACAAATCACAACTGATTCAAACAAAGGTTAAATGGGGAAAAGTAGGGAATGGGAAGAAGGAAAGACAGAAAAAATACAAATAAAAGTCAAGATGAAAAACTAGATCAAAAGAAAGGCACCAGAGACAATAACTACATAAGGACCGTGCTGCCTCCTGACTACTCACAATTAACTGACCTCTCTCACCTGATAACAAGCCCACACAAACAACCATCCCTCTATCTTTCCCGGTAAAATGGCCTTTCCCTATCCAGTCTGCCCACTGGCGTTCTTCCATACTCACTCACATTCACCGTTGTGTATCCACACAACAATGCACAGCAGAGGAGAGGAAATAGACAACCAGAGGGCAATTGGCAATGTAGCACAAATGATAGGCTCCCAGACAATACGCATGAACACACACACACACACACACGCCTACACACAACCATCACCACAACTGCTATAGGAGTTTTTTTTCCATTGTGCACGGTTTTGCATCAAGTCTGCATGCAGGTCTGCACAATGCGTCCCACGGTAGTAACAGATAAGGAATCAATTTCTATGTGCAGTTTGAAAATACAAATTGTTTGTGTGCGTTTCTGTTCCTTTGTACATTTTTAGGAATGGCAACGTCGACCAACTTTGGTGCAGAAGGAAATGTCTCACAACTATTGGATGGATCGTCGTGCCATTTGTTACAGAGGTTCATTTGTTGATGTTTTTGCTTCTTTTTTTCAGCGTATACTGAGGTTGGCATTTAGCATTTAGCTCAAAGCACTGCGGTACAACCTTGCAATGCTGCTAGCATGGCTGCAGATTCTTAGTCTTGTCTTACATTAGTGCCGTTGCAATGAGTCTGAAATTAAACCAGTTGAGATTCTTACATTTAAAATGACCACACCTAATAGTGTTTTAAATGATTTCACACTTTTTGATTGATTTTTTTATTTGCGGTAACATCTGGGCAGATGACTGCATGCCCCATTAATGACAATCATTAACGATAAGGACTTTTAAAACAAACCATTGAAGCAAGCCATCTTTGGATCATTCACCTCATTATAGACTCAATCATTATCCATTATGCGGTAGTACAGACAAAGGAACAGTTCATCACCCGCCAAGAGAGAACACATTACAGGAGTGGCCTGTACAGTAGTAGAAAAACGACTGTGTGGATTTAGTTTAAACTTTTTGCAGAAATGAGTGTCAGCTTTTCCAAGTGGTGAATTTTGTTGTGGCAATTTTCTCGTGACGAATTCTGTTTTTTGTTGGTGGTTTGCCCCTGAACCGAAGTGTGAAGTGTGTCTGGATCAGTGTACTGTGATGGAGAGAGGGAAGTGCATGCTCACACACACACACACACACACACACACACACACACACACACACACACAGATTAACACATTTTTATCTCAATTCCAGTCCATAATAGCCTCCTCAAACCAGCATTTAGCAGCACTTAGAGTATTTGTATAGTCAGAGCGCTTTATAGAACCAACTAGACCACATATTGTCGATACAAACACACACGTACATCCACTGAATGAATCCACAGTCTGACTGGTATGGTGCTTTATTGCCTTTCCCATTCGACCGGACCCAATCCCACTGACACCGGTCTGAAATTTCTCCTACACTGGTTCTCTACGCTGCCGTAAATGCACCAGTCATCAGTACCTCTCTCTCTCTCTCTCTCTCTCTCTCTCTCTCTCTCTCTCTCTCT